AGGATTTTGGGTAGGCTAATGGTGAGAGAGAGAGAGAGAGAGAGAGAGAGAGAGAGAAAGAGAGAGAGACTAAGGTTTTGGGAAGGCTATGGGTGAGGGAGACGATATGGGTTTTAGGTAGGCTAAGGGTGCTGCAAAGAAGATGGGTTAAGGGTGAGGTAGATGAGATGGGTTTTGGGTAGGCTAAGGGTGGGGGAGAGAGAATAAGATTTCAGTAGATTAAGGGTGATGGAGAAAGAATGGGTTTCGGCTCATTCGGGTTAGGAATAAGAAGGGAGAGATTAGTGTGTGTCTTAGGTGAAATTTAGGTATAGTGAGTGAAGAATGTGTTCAGTGTGGTGTGAGGGCTAAGGTAGGGTGAGAAGTGATGGATAAATTGATGTAAGGCTCTATTTTATGAGAAGAAAAGGGGGTAATAGATTTAAGGCTCGACCATGGTAATAAGAGAGGGAGATAATGAATGTGGCCTCAGCGATGGGAGAAGAGAAGAAGGAGGGAAGATAATTGCCACAATTTTATGGTCTACGTCATTCAAAATTAAAAATGAAACAAATTAAATGAAAAGAGAGTTTTATACCTTTGCTTTTGATTGGAACTTCTTGTTGGACTAGCTTAGAAGATGAAATGTCCTTGCATTGGTTTAGAGAGAGAGGGCTATCAATTTTTGGAGGAAAATAGTAAAGGAGGTATGAAGGGCTTGGTTTTAGGAGACGATTTAGAAGGGAGGGGGTCTCATCTTTGAGAGGAGAGGAAGACGAGAGGACATTTCAGGTAACAAAAAATGTGAAGGGGAGAATGGGAGACTTTGGTCTTGAGAGGAGGAGAGGGGATAGGGAAGAAGTTTCTGGTAGATGAGGGAATGAAAGTATGGATTTGATAGGATGAGGTGGTTTAAGTGGGGAGAAGTTTTTGGAGGGAGGAGTTAAGGGGGGAAGAGGAAAAATTTTAAAAATAGGAGGGGAATTTGAATTCAAAATGGGTGCTTATGGTAGTTATGAACTAAAGTAATTATAATATCTCATTTGAAAGAGAGAAATGAAAGTATTCTAGTGGTGCAATTAGTTTTGGAAAAGGTGGCATCTAGCTCAAGATATTTTAATTTGAAGTGGCTAGATGGCTATGGGTGGTTATGTCCAAAATTTTAAAATTAGCTCATTTAGTCGAGATTATATAAGGAAATTGAGTGGTGCAATAGATTTTGGTCAATATAGGTCCCATCTCAAGATAGTTCAAGTCAAAGTATGGGCCCACTCTAAAATAAAAAATTTTGGTGAATTTTAAGTGTGAGTTTTTAGTGAGTTTTAATGGATTATATTAAGTATTTTTAGCTCATATTCACTTTACTTGAAGTCTGAATTTGATTTTAGTTCATTTTGAGTGACTTATTAGAATTATTTTTTTATTATCAAATTTATCATCCAAATTATTGTCAGCTTAACTGGCCCGCGAACTTATTCTGACTTGGGTGCAGGGGGTCTATTTGAATGATTTTGAGGATCCAAATGTACTAGTGTAGTTCAATTTAAAAAATAATGATTCATTGAAAAGCTTTTATATGAGATGATTTTCATGTATGAAAATCTAAATTATAAAATTTTAAGTAAAAATATTCTCTGATGACCACCAAAGTAGTTTACATGCTTCTCATATGTGATTATGAATATTATTTAACTTATAAAATGTAATTCTGATGACCGGATTGGCCTGAAGAGAAAATGATAATTTCAGGGTGCATAGAGCACTAGTCATGCATGAAAACCTGAAGTGAAAAATTTTACATAAAAATCAAATCATATAATCATCAAAACTATTTGTATGGATTTATATGTGATAATAAGCGCCATGTAACTTTTAGAATGAAGTTTTGAGCCTTGCGATGATATGTGAAGAAAATGATAATTTCAGTTTACAAGCCGGTTAAAGCTAATTTATAGATCAATTTTAGGGTTTGGCTAAACTTGGTTATATTTAGTTCTATTTTTGTTTAGTTAGATTTTAATTTTAGGTTAAATTAGGGTTTAGCTCAAGTAAGGTTCAATTCATAGCTTATTTGAGTTTAATTCAGTCATCTAATGAAACTTAGGGGTAGGAATTATGTCTCAATAAGACAGGATATAAGCTAAGAAAATGTTGGCTGAAAAATGAGGTCAACATAATCACACACTCAATATTGATTGTTAGGTTATCAACCCTAGATTTAGGTTAGGATGGCTTTATTTGATTTTTTTTGTGCTATTTATGTTGTGTTTTGTTTGTGCTCTATGTTATGTACTTGATAAATTGCACAGTAGATAGGTCACTCATGCATTGGACCAGAAGATAGAGAGTTTAGTAACACAATTACTATCTACAAATCATCATGCTTAATCGTGCAAATGGCAAATTAAGTTTAGATCTAACATATTTTACCTAGAAGTTCTTATGATTCATGTTTATGCCTTTAAGCATGATCTATTAGAACATGTGGCTTAACACCCACTGATGTTAGGCTATGTTTTTTCTTATTTATTTATCAATTTGTTTGTGTGATTGCCCATTAATTTTTATTTTTGCAGTTTTAATTAGATATTTTCTTAAAACTATAAATAATATTAAAATTTATAACTAGGATTAAGATTTGTAGGATTTAAGATAAGTGAGGATGGATAGTATAGCTAGGTGATGTTTTTTGAAGCTTATAGAGCTTGAACCATGATGAGCCACAACAGGATGAATCGAAGAAAAGTGAATCTAAGATGGGAGATAAAGAATACCCACATGTCATCTTTAGTTTTAGGTTGGGCTATAAGTTTAATAATAAGTCAAAAAAATCTATAATGTTTTGCATTAGTTAAGTGTATATCATACACATGCCACTTGATCCTTAGGGCCAAGTCATAAATCCCATCAAATTCTCTTAAGATTAAATAAAAATCCTATATGTCCTCTTATGCATATGACCAAACCTATGATTTTAAACTTTATGAGGGTTAACTATCTTTCCAGAGAAAGTTGTAAGTATAAAAGAGGTAGGCTTAATTTTATTCCTTAGTGGGATTGAAACCTATATGTCCCATTGCAATTTCTTAGTTTAGTTTCAAGTGTCAACTTTTATGATAGTTTACACCTTTATTTCTCTTTGATATGGGATAAGTCTCTCACCGCTTATGGATTTTCGAAATATAGTGTTTTTTGGAATATAAATCTTAGCCTTCTAATAAAATGAACAAATTGAACAAAAATAAATTTCAATTTCTAAAATATAAAATCTAATGAAAGGTAGACCGAAGTGTTACTAAGCTTCTAAGTATTTGGGAATTCCTAATTTTTTCTCCCTTGAATTCTTAGAAGAACAGATCCAACATGATGTTTTCTGATTATGTTCTAATTAACCAATCTTAGATTAAAACAATGAAATCTACAAAGACATGAGCATTTGCTTTAATCTAAAGTGCTTAAGATATTATTTCTCTTAAGATAAAATTAATTGTATGGCTTGCCTCTATATATAGTTTGTATCCTATAATAAGATAAACTCTATCCGACCCAAATGAGGCCAAAGAAAAATCTTTGATTTATGAAGCCCCATAATTTTTTTTAAAATCTTTATTAAATGATTGAATCAATTATAAAATAATATTTATATCTTTTAATATAGTATATTATTTTTAATAACGTATTCGATTATTCAAACTGAATTCTTTAAAATTTGTGTGGTGATGTATTTCTTAGCCCACATGTACTTATGATCCATAACTGATGATTATATTTTATAAAGTTTAGGAGTGTACTAAGAAATAGGGGACTAAACTTATCCTAATTTTGCCTAGTTTAGCCTAGAGCTATAATTGGAGGTTTTGGGTGGTTGTGATGCTTGGCCTGAGTTTTGAGCAGTATTAAACAATGCTTAGGAAGTAAGGCAACATGTAAAAATTGTTGTGAGAACAGCTGTTAAAAGAATATATATATATATATATATATATAGAGAGAGAGAGAGAGAGAGAGAGAGAGAGAGAGAGAGATATATTTTGAGATATATATATATATATACCTGCCTTAATATCATTAATGAAAATACCAAGTCTTGAAGCCACCAAACAATAAGAAAATAGTAATAATAACTATCAAAACATAAAGAACATATTTAACAGTGGAAAACGATATTAATTTGTGCCAAATGCACATATTTTTTTGGCAACCTCTATCAAATTCCATGTTGAAAGCAAATTCCCTAACTCCTACCTTAATATCATTTACAAAAAATACTAAGTCTTGAAGCCACCAAACAATAAGAAAACAATAATAATAACTATAAAAAAATATACTTGAATATTAAATTTATTAGAACGCATGTAAGAAAAAGGAACAAGATTTTACATTTAAGGGAAAAAAAACATTAAGAACATGTTTAATAATGGAAAACGATATTAATTTGTGCCAAATGCACGTATTTTTTTGGCAACTTATATCAAATTCCATGTTGAAAGCAAATTCCCTAATTGATTAACTTTATTGGATGAGTTTCCCTTTAAAATTTGCACTTGAGATCATGGAAAATTTATGTATGTACCACTCGCTTCTTATGTATTTACATATCTAACACCTAAACTTTAATTTTTACATACATACAACCTAACTTATTTAAGAAACTTAAGATAATTATACTTTTGATGTGGTGTGAAAGTTTTGAGTTGCATAAATGCAAGCAGTACGATACATAAATACATACGAATTGAGCGTCGGTGTATGTAAATGCTCCTTATACTCTTTAATTTTTAACTTGCAATTTTTTTCAAACAACAATCTCAATGAAGGCAATTGTGTATGTAAATGCTCCTTATACTCTTTAATTTTGAACTTACAATTTTTTCAAACAACAATCTCAATGAAGGCAAGTATGATGAACTTCCCTAAGCCTACCATTACTATCTATCTATATAGCCCTATGAATCAACAAGATTGCATGCAAAATAACTTGAGTATTAATTTTATACTTTGAGAATAAATGACGAACATGCCAAAATTCATTTTAAATTACTTCTCCATCATACGATCATCAGTAGATTGATAAAGTCATCAATTTTAAATTTGTTTCAGTAAGGGAAAAGAGGGGGGGAAAAAGTTCCTATAGACGATTGATATAACATCATCAATTACTCTTAAAACTTGAATTTTTAAACTTGCCAATCAGTCTTTAACATCAGCTTCTAGTTCGCCTTCAGCCTCAGACTGCCCGGCCTCCTGGCTGGCGACGACAATGTCCGGGCTCTGCTTCTCGCCGTCTTCTGGGCTCGCAACCCCGCCATGAGAGCTAGCTGCAGTTGCAGCATCAGAATCCATAGGAGCAGCCCCATCATCCATCTCAGCGCCACTTCCGCCACCTTCAGCATCAGCTCCAGTAGCAGCAACCTTTGCCAAAATGACAAATTTATCACCAAATAAATTAGGTTTTCAGCATACTTCAATAAATTTAAGGCTACTTTTGTGAAGTTGAGAATTCTAAAAGATTGGTACTTGAAATAGCTGGTTGTCTTCCGGTTGTCTGGTGGCATTTTTGGACTCTTCTTCCTTCTTAGCTCGCTTATTTTTCTCGCTAGACTTGACGTGAAACTTGGAACGAACTTCAGGAGGTAAAAGTTCTGGAGGTACAACGCCCTCGACTCCATGTTCTGCAAACTGATTTCATGAACATATTTGGTTCAAGTAATTTGTTTTTCTCAGAATCAAATGATGGAGATGAAAGTATGTTGTACCTTAGAAAAACCCTCCAAGTCCTGTCTGGCTGAGAAACGAAGGCCCTTCCAGCAATAAACCTACAACAAAAATGCATGAAAATTTTCATGTCAGGACATGAAAAACTTCTTCAGAATTAGATCACTAACCCTGCAAGTTCTCCTATTCACAAATCAGTCGAAGAAATGATGCCCTGCAGTTCACCAACAAATGCCCGTATTTTTGTCTCCGATGCCTTATTTGGTTGGTTGCAAATAGAATATATTATATAAAGTCATGAGTTTGTTTTCACTTGTTCTGATTGTGAAATGGAATCATCACTTTTGAGAGAGTTTTTAAAAGATTTGTAATGTTCAAATTTAATATTGGACCAAACCACATTGGACAAAATGATAAATTTAATAAATTTCCAAAAATTGATTTGTAACTTCAAGCAAACTAATGAGCCCGAAGCAAATGCTGTGCTCTGAACTTACTAGCGCTGGATACAAAACAACTTCTGAAGTCCTCAGAGCCATAACTTGTCTAAACAAGGCAATTCAATTTATATAAATAAATGTCAGCAAAATATAACAACTCACACGATTATTTTTATGATGATATTCCTCTTCAATTCCAGCAGCAGGGTCCATCTGCAAATGGTGGTCAATCCAAAAAGAAAATGAAAACTTTAGAAGTATTCCTAGAGAATGGAGCTGTATAATAATTTATATGGCTTCAGAGAAGGTAGCCGTTACACGTAAGAACAGTGGCAAAGTAGATGAATTAATATATATGGGGCTACTCACATCTTCGGCAAGGGGTTTCCAGTACTCTGCGACTGAAGGCATACGAACACGGTGAGGATCACTCAAAGCATTCTGGATACACAATCAAAGAGCAGAAATGAAAAACATATTCTTGCTTAATCATGAAACATCATTTTGAAGGCAATGATACACAAATGCTTTTATTAATAATATGAAATTTTAATGCTCGAAAAAAGAACTTATAACTTGAAATTTCCGATACCGGATTTTGTTCCGCCCATTTCCATAGCTGTGAAAGCTCTTTGTTTCCCAATCTCCACCTTGGCTTGCTATGCAGTAAAACAAAGTCTCAATTAGTTCAACAAACAAGTAATTTCAGACACATCCCACAGAAAAAAAAAAATGAAAATGGAAGTTTGAGAAAGAGCCTTCAGAAATAATTAACTGTCTTATTTAGAGTGTTCATTTTGACGCTAGATTTTTTTCATCCTCTAATTTGGCCACTCTCCTTGGCCTCATGAAAAATGGTCTCATGACAAATACCATGAGCTGATAGCCATGTAATAACACTGAATTCAACTAATGAAAAAAATACCACTTTGATGTATCAGGAGTCTCTATTGATTTCAACTTTTACAAAACCTTTTGGAGCTTGCAGGTATGGGTCATGCTGAAATAGCCTACCAAGGATTAAAGGAAGAAAAGTTAAACGAAAATATAGTTACACACCTAGAAGGCGTGGTATGTAATCACAGTTGCTTTTGTTCATTATCAATTTGTTGTCCATACTGCCTAGTCCTTTCGCCCGAATTAACAGCTGCTAACTAAATATTTCAACAAAATTATATTTGTGTCCATAAGGTAATATAGTAAAATTCCCAATTGTACATCATTTTACAGCAGATCGAAGAGGAAAATTAAACTAGATAAACTAGAATATTTTCTAAGATTTTGCAACTACCAAACAAAAAAAAAAGATGTTGGGATCAAAACTTCCAAATTTTACCACTAGTTTGGTTAAAATGATATGGCAGAGTAATTTTACTTCCATATTTATATAAAAAATAATGATTCTCCGCCTCGAGAAAGCATCCTTAGTCCCTCTATTTTTTTGTGTGCAGTTATCCAATTGTTATTTTGACTGTTAGAATTTTTCTTATTACGGACAACATAAGAACATTAAGAAATAAGACTGAGCTGACTGTCACAGAAAGGAAAACGAAGACCCAGCCTAAACTGGTCATAATAGCCGCAGATTTCTTATTTCACATAAAAATTGGGCACTTCATCTTCTTTCGCTGCCCAGAGGTTTTCGACTGATCAAAGATATACCTCTCCGAGATACTCCTGAAAAACGGCAGATTTCCAACTCCAAACCAGCTCGAAGTCATGGAAAATGAATAAACTTTTGCTCTTTCATTGAAATGTTGTTATCAAAATCAACAGAAGTTCTCTCAAACACTAATATCCAAAGAAGAAAAATAGTCCAAAAGCTAGAAAAAAAAGAAGGCAAATAAGAACGAAATAAATTTTCCAGGCCGAACATATAAAGGCACTGTCACATCAATCCTTTCTAACAGAAATCAAGGGCATTACCGGACTAAGACTCCCACCTGAAATGATATTCTAAATTCAAAATTTAAAGAGCATAAGATCTATCACATCAAAGTAAAAAAATATCCCTTTTAGAAACTAACCAAGACGCAAAATCGATCAAAATCATGAAAAAGCAAAATACAATTGTAAGACAAATATCAAAATCCACGTGATATCACTCGGTCAAGACCATTAGATTAAATACTCATACAAAAAAAGAAGCGATTAATGAGGTACAAGAAAAGGCGTGAATTCAATTAGAGGGTCCTGGGTGACCGAGAGAATCATATTTTCGCTCTTTTTCTATAACCTTCAAGAAGCAGCAAGTATCTTTCCATTCTGAAGGTAAAACTCCTCCGCGCACAAGAATTTTGAAAAATAATTCCATTGCCTCATCAATGTTATCCGCTGTAACCTCTTCAAATGCCTGAGATGTGGTATACCGGGACACAATTTCCTCTTCAGTCTCCATTTTTGTCATTTCCTCCCTTACTCTGCTACTTGGACACAAAGTTGCTACACCACTTTTCGTACGTCTCATGACCTCTTCTTCTCCAGTTCATGCTCTAACTGCACCAACTCAAGATCCATCACCTTCAAATCAGCCTTATGAATTTTTCTAGTAGCTTCTTTAAAAACAACATGATAAGCTCTAGTATCAAGTTCTCTTTCAAGTTTCATCCTGTCTGAAGTAAGCGTTTTTATCTCTCGCTCATAAAGAACTTTCCGTCGGCATATTCAGTTAGGGTAAGGCCAAACTTCTACTCAGACATTATACATTTCATGTCTGAAGTAAGCGTTTTTATCTCTCGCTCATAAAAGAACTTTCCGTCGGCATATTCAGTTAGGGAACACTGAAGGCCAAACTTCTACTCAGACATTTTTAACATCAATTGAAGTTTTTCTGTGGAATTCCAATGTAGGGCAACTTTTTTCTCTAAGTAGAATATTTCTAAAATATTTTCTGCCTTGTGAGAGCCTACTGAGACGAGCCGATGGTATAAGCCTATTGCTAGGAGGATGCCAAGCTTTCCAGCAGCAAGATGTGATGGTCCTCCCAATCAATGCCTCACGCCACCTCTCTCAAATGCTTCGAGCTAATGATCGGGCCTAATTGAAATGCTAATTGCAAAAAATTTCCTTAGATGACAAGTCTTTAGTCAGATCGACTAATGCCTGACTCCCATCTTTATTCCCCATCATAATTTGGTCCTCCATAGCAAGAGTAATCCACAAGACCTCCACTGAAGGATCTCCAGCGAACCTGTCTGAGACATCTTGACTTCGTCCAACCCAAGCGCCAAAAGGGACAGCCCAAATAGTTTATTTTTTTCTGGTATATTTTTCCCCTTACCCTCCGGTACTGAAGGTGTTGCTTGAGCTATCAAAGAACTCCCCGAAGGCCCTTCTATCATCAATACTCCAAGGTAAGCAGCGCGCTCCGCCACTCTATGAGGAAGCATCTAAGGAACATATTCATCATCCTCCTGGACTCTATGCTCCATTAAGTATGATGGTCCCGCAACACCAACCGGCACATGTTAGCTCTGGAATGCAGCGATACAGCCAACCAGCACGTACCCCACCTTTGCATCTCAACTAAAATATAGGTTGCACAATTCAAGTTAAACATTAAATAAAGGATTATAATGCTCAGAAATTGACAGAAAACGACCTTCTAACATGCTCTTGAGAAACTCAAGAAATGTATAACGAACAATATTGATTTCTACCTTCCTCAAAACATTATAACTCTCTCTTTCCTCCGTGGTTAGTTCAAAGGCGTCAGGCATCTCCCTCCCTGTGCACTGCATCTCAGTAAAAATGTTCCAACCGCTTAGATTACAGCAGAACAAAAATGCTCCATCCAATCAACGGGCATTTTGTTGGCAAAACCTACTGTCTTCAACAATAAAGAAAACACCAAAAAACCATCATTTTGTGACTTCAATGGGAAAACATGGCGATAGAAGTTTGTTAACTGATAATGGCCCTCAGTACAGGTGTACATAATGACCACCATCACATTCGTTATAGAGTTTGGGCTTATACGTTCAAGGACAAACTCAAAAAAGTTCAGGACGTCAACTAGCTTTGCACACATGGAAACCGCAGACCAGAACGAAATTGTTTGTAATAAAAACAAATTTCATGATTCTATATCATATTTGAAGTTTTCTACCTCCTTGCCACCCTTGAGTCAAGCATTATCAAAAACAAATTATGATTGGGCCTACGCCACTTGATCTCTTCCGCTCGAGAACTTCTCTGAAGCTTTGTTGGTGGGGGAGACCTTCCTTTCTTTCCATAACCAAATATCATCGAAGTGTCATGAAGAAAGAATACATAACGAGATGCTTCAGAACAAGAAAAAAATAACTCTTACTTTTAATAAATGAAACAAGAAACCGAACGAATATGGATTCCAAAGGAAATATCAATTATGAAATATAATGACAAAAAAAAACAAAATGTCATCTAACAAGACATAAAACCAATACATTTGAAAAACTGATGAATACATAATCAAGCATAAAGTAAAAAATAAATAAATCATTCCTTATTTATATCCTTGACATCAATGGTCCTTGAATGGAGGAGGTGTTGGAGTACCATCCAACCACCAGTCATGTAATTATTAGGGTTCCAAAATTCTAAACGTTGCTTGAAAAGCATCACTTCAGCACTTCAGCCTCCGCAGCTTCCATCATATGGAGGGCTTCAACCATCTTCTCCTCATGTTGCAATGTAGGGCAGATTCAATCCCTAACTCCAAGAATCAAGGAAATCTATCTTTAAAAAATTTTCCTCTGTTCCTGGAACTTCGGGTCAATAAACAGCTCCCTGGTCTCTAGCTCAGTAATATGTTATCGAGCCTCCGCCGGTTCGTTCTCCAGCTCGGTGAGGCGATCCTTTGTCATTCTTTGATCCCCCAAAATAAAAAGAAGATCGATCGTGCAACCAGGACCTAGTAAGACATCCTCTGTCAGGTTGGAGACCTCCCCCATAACTGAACACATTTCTCTAGCAGCCTGAATAACTTCGGCAACAGAATCATTCGTTCTGGAAGGACCCTAGTCTCAATTTTATTCACCATGAGCTCTTCGCATCATGATCCATCGATGTCTCTAAAAGCAACAAATCATCGTCAAGGAAAGAAGCTTTGGATTGATAAAGTTGCGCTACATTACCTTCAAGGGACATATTGTCATTGTTTCAATCTGAAATTTTATCACCAGCGGCAAGATATCTGGAGAAGAAATCCCCCATCTCTATAGGATCCTCAAAATTCTCATCCAAGCAAGAAGTTTGATCTTTAAATTCACCTATAGCACCTTCATCTAAGCAAAAGAAAGGATTTATAAAGCCTAAAAGCAAGAAAACAATGAATATGCACTAATGACCTCACTAGGAGAGTTTGGATCAACCAAGGCCACAACAAAATGCTGCACCGGCCCTTTTGGCACACTAAAAAGATGCACATCCACGGAATCATTCAAGTCGAGGGGCACTCTACCCAGTAAACAAATCTCTAGATCAACAAAGGACTCGTCTTCCATCAAGCTTGCCCTTCAAAAAGCTGCCTCAAAAGGGTCGGAGGAAGCTATTTCCATCTTTAATTGACCTAGAGAAAAACCTCCCTGAAGGATTCCTTCCTCTGACCTCTTGGTTCTTTCAAGGCTCCATCTCTAATTTCAATTGAGACTCTTCTTCCACCTTCGAATGAGTCGCTTGCTTCCCACAACAGAGAGACTCCTCCACATAGATGAGTGGGATCCTCATCTCTTGTAGCAAATTCTTGTTACACTTCAAAAGAAAAAAATTTATGATGGAATGCACAAAGATCCGCTTTTATTCCTACACAACCCTAAAAAAATCTCGGAGGGAGTATGCTCATTTAAATAAATACCGCAATCAAAACCTTTATGATCTCTAACTTAACTTTTGTACTTTTTCTTGAGATAGTTCATATAACGTAAAAACAAGCTACCCCGATACAAAATGTGTATGAACTCACTTCCTCAAAACATTGTCATCCAAGCAAATAGAAATATACACCTAGCAGATCACAACATGCAGAATAGGTGAATCGGAATGAACCCTTCTCACAGGAGAGCCAAGGTACCCAAAGAAAGACTACTTCCTATAGGAGAAGCACAGAGTGCCCTCAGGCAAAGGTTAGTACGGAATATTATTGGTAATTGAAATATTCAAGTCCTCTTAGAACAAACCGATAAGCCCCAAAAGGACTAATTCCCGAAAAAACCTCGTTATCACCTTAAATGTCTTAAAGAAGTAAAAAAGATCTTCAATCTCGTATTCTTATCGCGGAAATTTGATCGAAGAGTCTCGAGAATAGAGAAACTAGAAGTATGCGCAAATATGAATATATTGAATTTTTCGCTGATTGAATCAAGCACACCTGCCGAAGTGACTGGTTCAAGTCCACCTGCAGAAGTGGATGAGTCAAGCCCACCTGTCGAAGTGGTCGAGTCAAGCCCACCTGCTGAAGTGACTGAGTCAAGCCCACCTGACGAAGTGGTTGAATCAAGCTCACTTATCAGACTGATTATATTCATTCCTCTCAAAATGTCGACCTAGCTCACCTATGTGAGGGCAGCTATCAGAGAAAGTTAATGTGACTAATAAGAACTGAGACTCGAGCATATGACCCAAGCATCAAGGGTGATCATCGTACTAGCAACACCTAACTCCAACACCGCGGTCTTTTCATCAAGACACCAGGTGAAGGCGTCGTACGATACGAAATGTATTATGTCAATTATTTTATCGCCTTTTTCCCATGTGTATAAAAGGAAAAGGGAAAAGGAGAGAAAGGGGTATCTCTCTCTTTACCTCCCCCCACCCCCAC